AAAAAAAAATATAAAAAGACAGAAAAATAATTGCGATATTTAGAAGACCGACCTTGCCTCGATTAATGCATACGAATTCGCGTGTAGGAATACGATAAGATTGTATAAATGTATAGTGAATAGTGTTATGGAATCCCGTCTCTGCCGAATAGCATAAAGAAAAAAAAGGAACAAAGGTATAAAAAAGAACATGAGTTTCCGTATGCCTATGTAAATTTGTTACTAATAAAAGAAAAAGTTGAAGTGGAACTTTCTAAGGTCCGAAGGATGATAAGGCTTTAAGAGAGCTAGAGCAAGAGAAAAAAAGAAAGAGAGAGGGAAAGCTGTGTGGTTTATTTAATAATCGGAAGGAGCAGAGCCGCAGACGAAGAAAGGAAGAAAAACCAAAAAAATGAAAAAATAAGAAAACATACGTCTGTCGATATTTCGCTATTTTAGTCTTTTGTGACATACATGTGAAAAGGAAAGGCAAGAAGAGGAAATTTTCTTGTACTTAATCTCTCGAGCATCAAAGAAAGGAGTCCACTGCCCAAGAATTTTAGACACGTATACCGATGATGCCTCCCATCGTGCTTTTTTCAGTTCATCCGATTTTTGAAAGGGTTGTGCCTTCGACATTGTGCGACTCCGTTTTATATTCTTAGGTAGATATTTAAGGATCAAGTTGTTGCTTCGAATTTCGATTACTTCTATTTTCTTGTCTGTTACGTTTTGACTACTCAAGAAAAATGCTAAAAGGGATAAGGAGGGAGAGACGGATAGAGAGAGAGAGAGAGAGAGAGAGAGAGAGAGAGAGAGAAAGAGAAAGAGAAGCTGAAAGAAAGAAATGAGAGTCCATGAAATTAAATGATTCTTTCAAAATACGGTGGCAAAGAATTTATTAAATTATGCGAGTAATCTATGCCGTATATAACCGATAGACATCGAAACTATTATGACTGGGGCTATTCGAATGCTTTGCGTGCACTCAAATGCTTCGAATATCCCTCGAATATTGCAATACTTGAATGTTGCATTCGAATCAATCCTCGCGTACTCAATAAAATAGATATACTTTGTAATGGTAAATCTACCGAAAGTGATTCGAACATCACGTTCGCATGATTGTGTACTGTACAATGTATTTACAAACCGTAGTTCAAGATTTAAATATACTACTTTATTCTCCATATTTGTAAATGGTATAAAAGAATGCGTTGTGTATGCTTGTATAAAATAACAAGTAATTTCATAAACTTCAAAGAATCTGATTGTTCGACGTAAGATTCGCTGCAACTTGTATGTGACTCGTAAATTTCTGTACAGTGTACATGCAACTATTCGAATGTAATATTGCAACCTAACGATTTTAATAAATAGGCTGCGGATATGCAGATATAGATTTTCATCATTTACAGAGACTGGGATCGAATGGAAATTTTTGTTACTTCGCTGATGACTATGATGTTTCTAATAATAGTAAATTATCTCTTTGGTAAACTTATCGCTGACCGTTAGACAATCAAATATGCTATAAATGCATAAAACCGCAGTCTACTATACAATATTGTTTTGATCCATAAGCGATGTCGTTCCTCATTTTTTCTCAAATGTTCGAATGATATTTTCAACGTTGAACCAAAAAAAAAAATGAAAATAATTGAAAGATCAAATACAAAAGATATATAAGTGATTAGTTACATAATAACTATTAATTAACAAGAACGACACTGCTTATGCCGTAGCTCGATGGTATTCTGCGAATGCAGCAAAACATATGAGAACTTAGTTCATTCTCGAATATTATTCCACGGATATTCGAGTATTCGAATTCGAGTTCCATCTTGAACAAAGAAGAAATGATCGGTCGTGTAGCCCCAGTATGACTCGAAACCAGGCATCAAACTTCTATTTTAGCGTAACGAGTTGCGGCAAAGCAAGGAGAGGTGAGTTTTGCTTGACGTCCAAAATTTTTACAAAGAAGAGTAAGCAAAGAGAAAACGATAATGAAACAAAGAAGGAATTGAAATGAGCGTGGCGGTAGCAACACAAGTATGAGGTGTGAAACAAATCCAAGCACTAATTTGTATCGTTCTATGGTACGCAATCCATCGTTTGGAGGGTGAGCTGTGGCCTTTTCTTCGCGGAGAATGTTTTTGAACACAAAGAAAGAAACGTTTCCTGTTCCATATAGTGACGAAGAAAACATGCATGTTGGTATAGCGAAATTTCATTAAGAAGAGACCCGTGGACGAATCTTGGTGCTTGAAAACGACTCACGAACCGGCCATGGCTCTGACTTATATTGAGTGAACAATATGTTATATATATACATAATATATATATGTATATATATATAGGAATATAAATATTACATAAAATAATAACCAGATGACAGAAAAACGAGAAGAGTGGAAAACAAGAGGGAAACTACATCCACATGTTGACAAGAATGCAAAAAGGAAAAGGGTGAGGAGGAAAGAAGCGAACACCGTGTGTATACATAGGAATTATTTGCGTGTGAAATGCGAAAGCAACGACAACGTCAGGACACCAGGAAACTAACGACACATTGATTATTGTTCGTATTTATCAAATATTCACGTTAAACAGTGTACCAAATTATATGATAGCTTCTATCGGTTAAAAAGTAATAATAATAATAATAATATAAATAATAATAATAACGATAATGGTACCTAATCTTACTCAGACATGTACATATACAAACTGCTTTTTATATGTGATAAAAATTTATTATATTCCTATTATACATTGAGGTTAGTAACGCTATTGTAAATCCTGGTTTTTTGTACACAGAGACTGTATGTTAAGTTCAGTTCTTTCTTTTTGTTTCTTAAAAAAAAAAAAAAAAAAA